CGCAGCCGGTGCGGTTCCAGCGCGGGAGGGAAATGCGAAGCGGTGGACGAAGCAGCCGGTTGTCCGTAGGGTTGGGAATCCCGAGGAGAGCGAGTGCTGCCCGCCAGGGACCGGCCTGCGTGCTGGGGTCAGGGTGGCACATCGGCCCGGTCTGGGGTGGGCCGTGAGGGCGAGTTAATGCTCCTGAAAGCCTGAAATGCTTCGCAGGTGGAGAAGTGCCCAATACTGAGCTCTTTTCAGCGGTGGCATAGTTTCTTAAGGAGAGCCCTAAAATTAGGCTTGACGGAGCCCCGTTAAATATGTTAGACATAGGCACAGAGCCGTTAAGGTTGGAAAAGACCTCCAAGATCATCTAGTCCAAAACTGAGAGGTACTTAAGACCTGTGATCTGTTGAAGACCTTTATATCTCCATCACATGTTATCTTAAAGGCACTTTGGTTTATTATGAACTCAAGTTATTTTTTTTTTTCTCCATGTGAGAATCCTCCTCAATTTCACATGCAGTAACTTAAAAAAAAAAACAACTTACACCTTTGTATTAAAATACTCGCTCACTTTTAATGTTGCCAGCTGTGAAATAGCATGATCTCACTATTCCAGTAAAGACTTGATGATGAGGGGAGATCAATGAAAGTCATAATTTAAAAAATACCAGTGCTGGAGAGGTACCTGTAGGGTGTAGGCAAAATATAACACTTGCTCTAGTCAAGAATTGCTTGTTTTGTGTTTTTTTTCTTTCTCTGTCTAGGAAAGTTGTTTTTTGTGTGTAGGTTTTTTTAAGTAATCTTTTCATAAAGCAGCATTATAGATGTATATATTCTAGTATATTTGGTTGGATTTGTCAGCAGTAATTGACAGTTTAGTTGGGTTTGTCACCAGTAATTGACAGATAATAATTCATGCTGTAAATTTTATGGGTGATGCACAGTAGACAAGAGAAGAACATTTATATTTTCTTATGTGATATTGAAAATGTAGCAATGTGCTGTCCTTAAAAACATAGAATCAGCAAGCTCACTAAAGAAAAGGACAGTGGAAAGTATGTAGAACTGAATGTGATGTTGTGATTAACTGTCATGGTATTGATCTTCATTAATCTCTTAATAGAACTATCTTCACAGCAGAAGTTCGATGAAATTAAGAAGGCTAATCAGGCTGCAGCAAAAAAGCTAGTTGAAGACCAATTTAGCTCCTCATCTGAAGATGATGATGAAGATGCTGAAGTAAAACAAGGAAAGATTTTGGCCAAAACATTTACCATTTACACCAGTCAAACTGGTAATTTTTTTTCATTTATTGACTTTTATTTCAGTATGAAAGCATAAACAATGTTGTATTATTGGCTGTGTATTAATTTTTTTCCATAATTAGAGGGAAAACACTTTATTCTCATGTTTTCTATTAGAAATATTTGTTGCCAGCAATGCATGCAGGCAGTACTTCTTGCCTTTTTATGCAGAATCTATGGTATAGTTTTGAAACTGTCTTAAGTACTTCTAATAATGTGGTTTTATAGTAATATATGATTAGCCTCTGTTCAGAGGTAAAAAAAAAAAAGCTTTTACAGCAGTCTGGACCTGTATGGAATAGCAGATCAAACATTACTGATTGCTTTAAAAATCTTTATACATTAAAGATGGAGATGCAAGTGAGCTGGAACGTACAAGACAGTACATGAATGAAGCTTTTCAGTCAGGGGCTATGACATGTCTGATCTGCATTGCTTCAGTTAAAAGGAACCAAGCTGTAAGTATTTTACAGTAGTCTTTTAGAATAAAGCAAATAAAACTGTCTGAATAAATTGTATTTAATTTTATTAAGGTAGTTCTTTGGATTGATAGTACTAAATGCAACATTTGGCATCTCTGGATTTTTTTCAGACACTTGAAATAAGTGCTTACGTGTAGGCTGTAAATAGAGTATGTATTTTTGACATGTTTGTTATCATAATGTGGAGTTATTATTTTTAAATTTTAGAGAGTAGAAGATGAGAGGCCAGTGCTTGTAAGGATGTATTCAGTAAGCTATGCTGTAGCAAATGCCAAAACAAGAAATGTTAGGAAGTTAGGAAATACTATTGTTAGATTTATAGCAGGGGAGCTAAGATAAACTTTGGTGCTCGAAGTGCTGATTAGTGAAAGGGACGGTGGCATGTCTGAGAAAATTGTCTTACTTCATATGGGTACGTTTTTCATGAGAGAGATTTCAGGACAAATCTTTTTCACTTCTATTATGTATCAACTTCCCTTTGACATTGACAGACCCAACTCTGTTTCTGTTATGGTTACTTGAATCAAAGACATGTTTGAAATTGTTGTTTAACATTGAAAGAAAAAAAGGTGCAGAAAATATTTTAACTTCTTATGCTGGATGCACATGGACTACAAGTATTCAGTGGAACTGTAGTCATTCACTTTTGTTTAGAAAGAAATACAGTGCTTTGTATGAATTCCTAACAAATTTAATCTTTATTTTTTTAGACTTTAACATGTAAGTTTAGCTTGGTTTTAAAGTTCTCTGTCTCTTGATAGAGTTAGTATCTCAGCAGAAGTAAGGGGATTTGGCAACTTGGAATTCTTTTTTAACTCTGGTTTGTCAGTTGTCTTGAATCTGTGAGATTTTAGCCAAACGTGTTTGTTTACTTGATGTCTCCTGTTTAGCTGTTGTTTTAGAAACTTGGGTCATTGACTTTGCCCCCTATAAGTTAATTCTTGTTTTCACAGTATAATTTTATAATGGTGTCATAAATTATTAAAAAGTAAAGAAATTAAAACTTGAGTTTTCTACTGTATTTCTCTTACCAAATTGTTACAGTCATTCTAAACTAACAATTTAAGACATTAATACATGGAAAGTACCAAAGGCATAAAACTGCATTTCTGTTACTTAAATTGCTTTTCATCAGCAGGCTGATATTCTACGAGAAGGATTGTGGTTTCAGTCCAGAACTAACAAAGAGAAGTACACTGGAAACAAGAATATAAGTTCAGTGATGGAGACGGGATACTGGCAAAATAACTCTTAAACACATTGGCTTTTAATTCTGTTTTATAACTCTCTGGCTCTTTGAACAAAAGACACTGGGTTGAAAGCCACACTTCTCATCAAATGTTTTTCTTACTAGCATTTATGTAAGTCCTAAAGATTGAGCAGGAAAAAAGATTATTGGTATGAATCTCAAACAGTAAAACTGCCTATATTAACCTAACAGTAGGTATAATCCGTCTTTGGAAACCCGTTTTTTTAAATGGAAAAATAGCAAGCTTGTATTGTTCTTGTAGTGTATTGCTTTGTATTTGGTATTCGGATATTATGGTTGTTCATCAATGGAAACAGAAAGAAACCTAATATAAAGCAATTGACATTTCTGTCTGCTCTTCAGGTCTGGAGCTGCTGTGGATGCTTTTGTATATTTCACCTGGTGTGTATCCAAAAGTGGGCCAAGGACAGTCTTTTCCTTGTGTCTTCTTTGACAGATGATGATTTTGGAAAGAAAGATTATCCCTGGCCATGGTAAGCTCTTTATGGTGCATTTACAAATATTTATTTTTTTTCAGTGAAACAGGTGAACTGTAGTTATTTTAGATATAAGTAGTATAGATGTAAATAGTATATAAATAGATGACATACACACACACAAAAAAGTTTAGAAGACTGACTTTTCTATTACTTGCTTGAATTATTTTATTTTCATTATCAGAAGTCAGGAATATTTCACAGTGATGCATCAAATTTGTTTCAAATTCTGAGAAGCGTCATGTGTCTCTCAGCTTCTAATACCTATATCTGAATGGCTTTACATGTTGGTCACTTAAAATTGACACTGTGAAATAAACAGCCAAAAAAGTTCTAAAATAGCAAGATTTAGGGATTTTTTTTTTATTTTTAGTCTCTGTATAACTCAAGCATGAAAGCTGGTCTTGAAGTTTTACACGAGACTGCGCAAAGAAGGTAATACCCTGGCTGCGTCAGTAATGAAGCTTGCTTTTTCAGTAGGTTTGCATCTGAAAGTTCAATCAAGGTTTCTCTGTGAATATTTGTTCTGTGCTTTATTTGCCCACCTGCTTTTATGTGGGAACTTTCAGTAACGTCTTTGAGATACTGTTCTCTGTCAGATTTGGTTGAAAGTGCCTGGTTGGATTCAAACGCTCTGTTAATGTGGGATCTCAGAGAGCAGGTTTGCTTAGGAAACAGGGTATGAAATTCTTAGCTGGCAGCGTCTCACTGTCGTAATGCCTTTTCTACTACAAACTGGTTTTGTGTTTAAGCATAATGTGTATAATGGAAAAAAAATCAAGGCAAATGGCATTTTATTTAATATTTAAGCACATGATAAAATGGTGTGGTCATTATGGAGAAACAGGTTGTTGCTTCTAACCTATTATATAGAGCCAAATTGGTATTTTATTTGATAAAAATGAGTGTGTGGGTCTTTCAAAACCTCTACTCTTCTCTGCTCAGGTGCTCCTTATCTGTTGTGTTTTCCCAGCGTAGCCAGAAACACTGCTTTCTTTCTCCTTCCTTGTATTTCAACCCTCATCCATGGCCTGCACCTGAAAGCATTTAGGGCCTGTGGCACTAATAATTTCCAGATCTGTGGTGCCTTTCTGCCTTTAAGAATAATGTATTTTTTAATATCTGACAGCATCAAGGATAACAAGTGAAGGTGTGCATCTCACAGTATCTAAGATGCTGAACTGATACAGCCTAAGATCTTCCAGATAAAATTTTTATTATTACGCATAGTTTGAATTGCTAAATATTATTTAAACCTGGGGTTTAATCTCTTTTTTTGTTTGGTTCTATTTAACTAGGTTAACTCTTTGTTGCATACCTTCCTTTGATATTGCTTGACACAAATATTGCTCTGTATGCTTTCTATGTTGATTTTTTTTTAATATATATTCTTAGAGAAAAAAGATTGCAGTGATAGGACAATTCCTTACAATTCCATTCTATTGAATGTATTGTGAAATCTGACACACAGCAAAACCTTTCTTGTATATTATAAATTTAATGTTATTATTAGTTACAGTAGGTGTAAAAGCATTAATTGGTAGCCTGTTAACAATCTTGAGAAATTGAAATGATAAAAACTGCTCTTCTTTTTAAAAAAATCTTAAAAAAATTACTTCTCACTCTCTTTTTTTTCTTGTTGCAGTCCAAAATGTAGGTTTGAGTACAAACGGTCAGAAACTCCTAGTAGGTATTACTGTTACTGCGGAAAAGTGGAAAATCCAACACTAGACCCATGGCTGGTACCTCACTCCTGTGGTCAGACATGTGAAAGGGAATTCAAACCTCCTTGTGGCCATAAGTGTTTGCTGCTTTGTCACCCAGGTAAATCCGTTGCACCTCTCGGTTGCGTGACACTTAAAATGTGCTAACCCTATTTAAAATTCTCAAGGGTAAAACACATAGTCAAGGCTGCGTTTTGCTGACTGGCTGTTACAATGGTGTAATTCTTCCTGTACTCAGGACCGTGCCCGCCTTGCCCGAAGATGGTCACAACAACCTGTCACTGTAAGAAAGCCAAACCGGTGCCGCGACGGTGCAGTGCCAAGGAGTGGTCGTGTCGCCTGCCCTGTGGACGAATGTTGCTGTGCGGGCAGCACACTTGTGAGAATTCCTGTCACGCAGGTAGACCAGCCTTCGTTAAACTTCAGAGGAGTGCTTGTTTTTATGGTGAGGATGAAGCGGTGTTGTACAATTCCTGCTCTCAACGTCACTTTGCAATTATGCGCAGGAGATTGTCAGCCTTGCCCGCGAGTCAGTAAACAGCGGTGCGTCTGCGGGAGACAGACGGCGGAGAGGCTTTGTGCAAGTCCGCAGTGGCAGTGTGATGAGGTCTGTCAAAGCTGTCCTTTTTGGCTTTTTTCTCGTCTTTATAAAATTTGATTACTGGCTTTATTAAAGATTGGAAAAAAACTCATTCAGTAAGAAAATAATGGTACTGTTTTAGCTTTTGAAAGTACAATCAAATATGTAAGCAGCAGTGTTTGAGAATGGATCTGCCTGGTGGCCAATTTCTGACAGTAGTTAAAATGTTGCTGTTCTGGGATTGTGCTAGGGTTAAGCTAGCAGTGAATTTGACCTTGTATATTTTGTTCTCTTGTACTTGAGATTAAACTTGCAGCTACTATCTTCAAAACCAGGCATGAAATCACAGCTTAGTAGATAAGAGTTTCATGCTTATTTACTTCTAGTGATTGTAACAGAATGAAAGCTTTGTGATTCATTCTTTGCAGCTTATTCTTAGGACCAAGGCTGTGGAATGACAGACTGTAAAAATTAAAATAATTTTTTTAATTAAGTGGCAGGGGGGAGGTTGCAACAGGGTCGTTACGATCCCAGTAAGAAGGACACTCAGCCTGTGTAAAGTATCAATTAAAATGCTATTTATTTCAGCTAACATGATAGAGAAAAGGAGTATAATATAAATAATAGTGTTGCCTCTGATCCACATGGAGACCTCATCTGCAGAAAGGGTTACCCCATTTTGGTTACTGAAGCAATTGTAGGATTTTGTTACAAGGAAGAAAACTCTGTTCATCATATTTCCTGTCAGACAGAAAGGATATTTGGATGAGAACTTCCTCCTGCAATTTTAGGTAAAGGCAAGGACGTGCAGGTGGTGTAATCACTGGTACCAAGTGGGAGCTGCCTCCTATCTCCTCTGCTGCAGTAAGTTTATCCTGTGGCCAAGGGGTATGTGCAGCACAACATGGGCCTGGGGCTGCTCAGCTTAACATAAACCACTAACTCCCTGGCATATGGTGGTCTTCCAGTCAGGTTCACCACAGGGATGGTCAGTTTCATTTGGTAAACTCAGTGAATGTAGGATTTGATAACAAAAATTCAGAAAAAGGTCTGTGTCATTCTGTTACAGTGCATTCACTGGGTTTCTCTGAGTTTTCCAGGTGTGTGGGAAACGCTTGCCTTGTGGTAATCACACATGTGAACGAGTTTGTCACGCTGGTCCCTGTGGAGACTGTCCTCGTTCTGGGAAAAGGTCCTGTCCATGTGAAAAATCAAGTAAGCTGCTGTTTTGGTTTTGTTTTATTTTTTCCAAGTAAGATTAAAAAAAATAAAGTCATCCAGTCTTTGACAGTCAGTAGTTTAGGTTAATTCTGCAGGGCAGAGTCCATAAAAAGTTCTTACAAATAGTGAACTGTGACAGTTTGTATTAACTTTTTTTTTTGCGTAGTTCTTTAAAAGCTTTATTTAATACTAGGAGTTTAGTTGGCTGTGTGGCTAAGTAAGTCTAGAGAAATTTTTAAAAAATGAGAGAGAGTTGACATTTGAACTCACATCGTGCATTTTTTCCTAAATATTTTGTCTTTTTTCTAAGTGCTTGCCTGTACTTCTCTTCATCTAGAGTTTACGTTGCCTTGTACAGAAGATGTGCCCACGTGTGGTGATAGTTGTGACAAAGTTCTGGAATGTGGCATCCATAAATGTTCACAGCGCTGTCACCGAGGTCCCTGTGAAATATGCAGGCAGGTTAGTCTTACTGTAGGAGGTTCACATTTTGTTAAGGTTTGTAAACACCATGAGCCTGGAACAATGCGAGTGTGCTGAGGAAAATTAAGTCACAGCTATTACTTCCTGTTCATTAAAAGCAATACATTCTCCTCCCACCACAACATAATTCTGAATTAATAGTTGAACATTATCTGTCTGAATTGAGACATGGATGACAGTTTTATTGTCTTGGTTATGTCTTGAATTAGTTATGCCCTAAAAGACACCTAATTTTTTCCCCATCTCTTCTAGCTTCCTTGGTGATTTGTCTTACTAAACTGTTTCTTCCTTGGTGAAATGGAATGTGCTGTAACATAACATTTCTTTTTCAGTAAGAAAATAGTATTTTGCTTTGTGGAGCTTCTGTAGTCTGGCCTGTAAAGCTGTTACTCTGTCTGCTCTCAGTTGTCTCTTCCTGAACCACCTTTGGCTACAAAATCTGTGATGAAAGTAGTTAGTACATGATCACTGTGATAAAGGTCAGATAAACCTGCTCACCTAATTCTTTAATTGTCTATATACACAATGGATGAATCTAGGTTGCTGTGCAGGAGAAGAATTTTTTTTTATGAATTTGTTTTGCATTTATGCTTGATATCTTGCACCACATGCTTTAGTGGGTCCCTTGAAGTGGCTTCCTTCTTGGTGAGACCAAGGCTACAGCATTTGTGGTAGCAACACAAGGTCCACGAGTAGTCATTGCAGCTGGATAATCTCCTCAGAGCATGTGATACACTTCCTGTTGTGATAGAGCACTGTAATGTTAATCTGCCATGAACTTTTCTTTACAGATAGTAGAAGAACATTTTATTTTTGACTTTTTTTTTTTTTTGGCATTAAAAATACCCATGGTTTGTTTGTGTGGGTTTTTTTTCTTATCTTGCTGCCCAGGAAGTTGAAAAACAGTGTCGCTGTGGAAAGCACACTAAACGTATGCCGTGTCATAAGCCATATCTATGTGAAACCAAGTGTACTAAAATTCGTGATTGCCAAAAGCACCAATGTAGGAGAAAAGTAAGTGTCCAGAGATGATCTTTCTCTAGTTTGTTGTTTAGATAACATTTATTTATATATAGTATTTTACATTATGTAGAAATCCCCTCAGTCTGTTGTTCCATCTCATGTTACTGAATAGAAAGAGTTTTCTTCAATGTCGTTCAAATTAGTTTGCAGCATGCTGGAATTCTTTCAACAGCACGTCTCCAGGAAAAACTCAGGGCCCTCAAAAACTGAGAGGGGATTTTCACAACTTTCTAGTTCCAGAATGCAGTTTTGCTTTCAGGTACTCAAGTAATTATTGATGTTTTATGCATTTGTGGGTAGTGAAATCCATTTATATCCTACTTTGTAGGAAGAGCTGGGAACCTCTTATAACATACTCTTATTTTTGACAATGTGGCAGTCCATCCCCTCTTTCTAACATGCATGACTGCAAACAGCAGTAGTCTGACAATTGGGAATTTGAATTTTGTTTCCTGTCTCATTTAAAGTCGAAGGAATGATCGATAGCTCAGTTTACCAATTCAAGAAGGCCCGAAAGTTGCCTGCTATGTGTGAATTAATTCATGATGAAAGTTGGACTTCTAACCACAAAGAGGCATGAAAAGGGATAGTTTTCTTCTTAGGTATTTTTGAGTATTATTGTTATTTGCATTTACTTTGTGTGAAAAGACAGTAAAGCAAGTAAAGGCAATCTTGACCTCTTAAATTTATGCTAAAATATCCAGGTTTCTCTTCCTAATTGCCTGGCTGCCTTATGCAGTTTGGAAGGAAGGTATCTTTCAAGTTAGTAGAAGAGATGAGGTTCTTTCCCTCCTGACCTGGCATCTACCAATGTGGTGGTGGTGTGGTGTGTTCCAGTTCTTCCACATTGCTTCTTTATTTAAGAACAGAAAGTAGATAACTGATACTAACATTATCTGACTTTTACTACAAAGATAAAATATGTTTGGGTTTTGTTTTTTGTTTTTTTTTTTAAAAAAAAGTGGGTAGCAACATTTTTGTGCCAGGAACAGTTTAGGATAAAAGTGGAAGACATTGCACAGTAATGGGGCAAATTGTTGGATATTCTGTGTGCAGTATTCCAAAATTATTTTGGATTAAAATATTATAAGAATTTGAACCTTGTAAATGTTCTTATACTTTTTGGAAGCTCTCTGCCTTTTTAGTGTGTTGAAATGATGCTTTCAATTGCGTGTTTTCTTGTTATTTTATACTTGGATTTTTTTTTAAAACAACTGTACAGATGGCTTCCTTTCACTACCTGGCATGAATTTGAGGAAATTTGACTAAACTGTATGAAAATTTTTTAAAGAAGTATTGAAAAAATGAGGTAGTAGAACAGGGCAAATTTATACCAGAAATGTCTAAGTTTTAGTTCTACAGAGTATTTTAAATTTTTTGTTTAATAGTGCTGTTCTGGAAACTGTCCACCATGTGATCAAGTCTGTGGGCGAACTCTAGGCTGCAGGAATCACAAATGTCCTTCAGGCTGCCACAGAGGTAAGAACAGGTGAAGCATCCCTGTAGTGATGGAATATTGTTTGCTTTTGCCAAACTTGCAAAGTTTGTAAGCTTGCATGGCTCTCTGAGGTGCTTACTGAATTCTCTCCGTTGTTGTAGGTGGGCTTTTTGTGGAGACAGTATGTTTGAGAGGTTTTTAGTGCTGGTTTATTTTTTCTCTGTTAACTGTGCCTCTTCTCTTCCCCTTTCCTTTCTTTTCCCCCTCCCCTGTGCCTGTCCAAAATCCTGAAAATATGTAAATTTTATTATTTTTTCTTTTGGTAGTGTCAGAAGAAAATTGATAATGTTGTTTTTCTGCATTAGTTTGGTTGATAACTAAATCACAGAATAAAATTCTGGTTGGAAAACTAAGGAGCTAGTGCTGCATTATAGGATATACTTCTACATTGAAATAGCTGTTTATATGTAATATTATTTTTGTTTTACAGTGTCCCTAAAAGTAACAGTGATTTCTAACAACTGACAGCAGTATAAAAATAATAAAGCAGAACCTGTAAGAAAACAAAAGTGAACTTTGGGAATGTAAATATCAGATATATACACTTTAAAGTGTGTGTAATTTATCGAAATAGTACAGTTGTCAATAGTATAAGTGCTAACTCTTTCCAAAAGTTGCATCTAATGAAGCTAGTAACTATATCAGATGATAAATTTAGAGAAGAAAATAACTTCTGTGTTAACAAATTACAGTCTAATATGATTTATAATATCTTGTCAGAATGGTGAAAATATTCCTAATATGGGCAACAACTTTGATTTAAAAATATTTATATGCATGTGTTTCTCCTTATATTCCAATGTTTTAATAGTGGCTAAAAGTTAGGATGAATTATTTTATCTTCAGTATGTAATACTAGGTCAGGTTAATTTTGCAGTGAGCTGCCAGATCTCGGTGACCACTGATTTTAAAGGAAGTAGTATGACTCCAGGAAAAAAACTTGCCAGATCAGGTCCTTTAAAAGGTATCCGACCTCAGAATTATTAGAGGTTCCTGATAATAAGGCCTTGGTCCTTAGCAGGGGTCCCTAAGAATGGTAGCTTCATCCATTCTGTTTGTGGTTTGATTCTTATGTATCTTTTTTCCTTAAGCATTTAATTATACTTGTTGAAATTTAGAATGTGTTGCCAAGAAATAGAAATGTTTTGTTTATTACTGTAGCAGATTATAATGCTCAATTTGAGAACAGTGTGTTCTCACCTTAACTTCAGATTTATACGTTATCTCTGCCCTTCCGTCTTTTTGAGAGTGTGGGCAGTTGTCTCCGTTAATAGAATATTTAAGTAAATTGCACGCATATTAGCTGCTCTAGGCAGCAGAGCTTTCAACCTTCAGTTTGTTTTGTAAAAGTAGACGTTTATATATGCTGATGATATAATTTAATTTACTTTGCAATAAAAAGACTGTATACTTCCACCCTTTTTTCTTCAGCAGCCTTGTTCAGATTATCAGTGTTAATATATTTATTTTTAGGTAGTTGTAATCCATGTCCAGAGACTGTAGATGTGAAATGCAATTGTGGAAAAACTGTCATTAAGGTGCCCTGTGGCAGAGAACGCACCATCAAACCTCCTAAATGCAAACAGCTCTGCAGGTCAGTATAGAAAGAAGTGTGTGTGTTTCTCGTTCTAGTGTCCTTAAATAAAATAGGAAAATGCAACAGTTATTTTTTTTATATGATTACAGATAGTATTTCTCAGTCTTCTGTGTTCTTGACTGTGCAGACAGAAAGTGATAATAATCTCCCTCTTTGGTGCTGCGGTTTCATGAACAGCTTGGTGCTGTCAAGAGGGAGTTTCTGTCCCGTTATAATTTCTGGTTTTGTATTCCCACGCGCTTCAAGTCATCTCTGGTACTTTTTGAAGTATCTCCATGAGGCAGTTTGCCTGAAAAATTTGACTGGTGAAAGGAAAAAAATACTTTCTGCTGAGGTGTAGCAAGAGTACTTAGAGTAGAATTAGGATTGAAATAACCGAATATGCAAACCCAAGTTTGATTTTAATTTAATTTAGAACTCCTGTATAATTTTCCTGTAATATTAACCGTTGCTAAATAAATTCATTTTTAGAGAAAACCACTTAGTTCTTTGTATTTTGAACACAACTGCTCAGTGACTGTAACTTATTGTTTCTTGCTGTCATATTCATTCTTGGATTTTACTACAGCCGACCACCTACCTGTCACCACACTACCCGGGAGAAACACTATTGTCACTTTGGTCGGTGTCCTCCGTGTCGTCAGTCCTGCCAGAAGACGTTAACGTGTGGTCATTTGTGCCCCGTTTCTTGCCACGATGAAGCACTTGTGAAGCAGGCTGGCTTCGTAAGTAAATAATGAAAAATGGTGTGTTGTTTGTGTTCTGAAGAACGAGCAACAGTTGTCTGACCTCAGTCTTTTATGTCGGAGGCTTTTGGAATTCAGAGTAAATAAATAATCATAGATTCATTTTGGTTGGAAAAGACTTTTAAGATCATCAAGCCCAACTGTTATCTAACTCTACCAGGCCCACTTCTAAACCATTTCCCTGCGCACTGTATCTAGACAGCTTTTAAAAACATCCAAGGGTGCTGATTCAACCACTTCCCCGGACAGCCTGTTCCAGTCTTTGATAACCCTTTCAGTGTAGAACTTTTTCCCCTGGCATAACTTGAGGCCAAATAATCTATTTATTTTTATAATTTATGATTGAATGTGCAGTTTCCAGCAGTTATAATTACTCAGGAAATTGCAAGATTTTTGTTAGAGTTCTGTTACAAATGTTTAATTTCAAATCTACTTATAAGAGGAAAAAAAATTAACTCTGATGTTTACTAAACCAGCAAAATTTACACAAGTTAGAAACGAAAAATTGTTTGACATCTTCAAACATGGCACATTCATGTATTGCATGATGATAATTGAAGTTGTTTAGTAATGTAAATATTTTTATATTTTTACTTCTATTAAATACCTGGAATTGTTTTGCTGGTTTTTTGTTACTCTTTGTGCTAGATTTTTAGCAGTAGGGCCACAGGCCTTCATTTTCGTATCCCTAACGATGCTAAGGATGAAATTGTAATCTGTTGTGTGTATGGGGTGTTGAGATTTCCATTAGAAAAAGTTAGTTACTAGAAAGTGGATTTGTTAGAACTGGGATCTCTTTGGATGGTAAGTTCCTTTATGGTCCAGCAGGTAGTTCCATTTGTGTTTTGTATTTAACTAGTGTTGTCCTTTGCTCACAGCATCAGTCTGCAGGTCCCTGGGAACAGCCGTCCGAGCCAGCTTTTATTCAAACAGCATTACCATGCCCTCCCTGTGAGGTTCCTGTACCAGTGTAAGTATTAAAAACACGTAAAAGTAAATTTTGGTACAGAAAAAGGGGTTTTTTTTCTTTTTATACTGTTGTAGAGATGGATGTGAAAATAACCATATTTTCCTCTGGAGATGCAATGAGCCTGTGTGAACACCACTCTTATAAAACTGGGAGCACTGGAGGTTGTTCAATGGACCTTTTTTGTAGCTTGTGCTCACTATATGAAAAGACTGATTGTGTTGGTACATACTGGTTGTTTCTAATACACGTTTTGTGCAATGATACCTTAAAAATAATGAAAATTGCACAGACAGACATTATAATTTGATAGTCTTCAGTGACATATGACTTTTCATATAGCTTGTCTTTTGTTTGGTTTGTGGCCTTGTAATTTTTCTGTGATTGTAACTTTCTGCATAACAAGTTGCTATTTTGTTTCTCAGTTGTTCAGTTATTGCGTGCCAATAAATGGCAATAAATTGCATTCCTTTTGTTTCTCCTTTCTGTTTTTATTTGTCCAGAGGTTCTATTCACTGAGTAGATCCATATCAACTATTTCTGTGATGATTCTGAGGATATAAGGGAAAATGTGATGATGACTTTTTTTCCACTACCGTCTTTCAATTTGATAAAAGTTCTTTTTACATTGTGGAATAAGGACTCAGATTCAATGTTTATCTGTAAAAGGAATTACAGGTTTTTTTTGTCTGTTTTAGTGATGTAGCCCCTTACTATTTTAAACTCACCATGCTTCACAGCTGTTAGTGCTTATTTATTTTTTAAACATCCCTCCTTAATGAGGGAGTATTATGTCCTCATTTAATGAAGTGAAAACTAAATAGAATGAGATGATCAAGAATATCCATTTAACTGCCTACGTAGGTATGTTCAGAACTTAATTTCTTAAGGATTGTACTTTGGTAGATCATGCTTTTGTTCAAAACACAGTACTTCTTTACTATGAGGGTGACAGAGCACTGGAAGAGGCTGCCCAGAGAGGTTGTGGAGTCTCCTTCTCTGGAGACTTTCAAAACCTGCCTGGATGTGTTCCTGTATGGCTGCCCTAGGGAATCCTGCTCTGGCAGGGGGGTTGGACTAGAGATGATCGCTAGAGGTCTCTTCCAACCTCTAACATTCTGTCATTCTGATCCTTGGGCTCACAGACTCCCAAAAGGTGAAAAATGTGTAGTTATGAGCTGTCTCCTTTCAGTGTGTGAGTAAATGCTCGTAGAAACTGTTTCACGTAGACATTCAGCAGAGGTCATTGTGTAACACCATGTATATAGGGCACATCCTCTAGTTCCTGCCTCAAAATCCCCTCTGTTAGTCTGACGACTCCTCCCCAGAGAAGGAGTGTCTGTTAAATAAGAAGAAAACCATACTGGAGAAGTCATACTTAGTTTATCTAACTAGAGGAAGCATCATTACGTTTCATAATGCTTGAGGCAAATTAAGCAAAATAATCTGACAGGGTAGCTCATTAGCAGGGCTTTTAAAATCATTCCTCAAACAGTGGCATTTGGACGAATATGATAATTGAAAATAGTTTAAATAACCCTGATCTGTATGGATGGGTGTTAGTGGAGATTTGATCTTTCACCACTGAGGTTTTGCAATAGATTTTGATGTTTTTTCTAATAATTTTATATCTTTGAACATGAGCAGTCAGAGATTTGAAAAGGACTGTATTCAATATCTGGTTTTGTAAATAGTTCAAAGGGATTTTCCAGAAAATTAGTTGCTCTGTTAATTCCACAGAACCACTGAGGTTGGAAGGTACCTTGAGACAGGTTCATCTAGTCCAGCCTCCTCCTAAAACCAAATCAACACTGAATTCAGACCAATTTGCTCCAGCTTTGTCCAGCTGGACCTTGAATACCCCCAAGTAGATTGATTCTGCAGCCTCTCTGGACAGCCTCTCTCAGTGCTTCTTTAGACTGATATTTTTTTTTTTTTAGTTTTTATGTTTTAAAATTTTTTTTCTATACTGTGTAACCACTCAGACCCTTCCTTGTTTAGGAGTATGATCATTGTCTCTTGCCTCCCTACTTTGAACCTCAGTAAGAAGCCTGGCTTCATTTCTTGGTCACTTCCCCTTGAGGCTGAAAGACGGCTATTATATCCCTCAGCCCATCAGTCCCCAGCCTGCAGGGTTGCTGTGATTTAGTCAGTCCCAGATGCAGGATGTTTTTTTGTCTCTGCATTTCCTGAATTCGCTCTCAGCCTGTTCCTCCAATCTGTCTTGATCCTTCTGCGTGGCATCCCTGCCCTCAGATGTATTAACTCCACCATCTTTTACTGTCTTCTGTGAAAGTGATGCCTTTTGCCTCTTCCTTGTTACTGGGGAGCCGGGGAATAAAGAATTAAAGATGGGTCCTGGCCTGAAGAATTCCACCTGTAACTGGTGTCCAAGTAGGATACAAACAGCTGGCTGCAGCCGTTTGAGCCCAGTGATCCTGCCAGCTTTCCGTGCATCTTGTAGTTCATCTGATACCGTTGTGTCTCACCTTGAATGCAGCGTTGCTGTGGGGAACTTCTCATTTGCAAATTTAGTAGGTACATGACAGAAAGCAATTGGATTCGTTATGCAGTTTCCCCCTGCAGTGGAACAGAAGCACGCTGCGATGAAATGCAGAGGTCCTAGAAGCCAAATTAGCAGGATATAGGAAGATTATCTTGGATATAACAACTGTGTATTGCAAAGAACAGCCTCCTGTGATGCATCTACTTATTATACTAGGTGAAGGACGGATTGCTCTTGTTAATATCCTCCTGTCCTAAAGACCACCTGTATCTGTAGGTAGTTGCTTTGTGTAAGAGAAGCATTTGGGGATACTTTATAAAAAAAAGTTTCCTTGCTAGAAAATTTCCTTGCTAGGAATTTTTGACAGATAGGAAATCAGAGGTAAAAAGGAAAATATACTTCAAAAAAATCAGGCACAAGATTGATTTAATTTTAGGAGATTGGTTTGAGTATAATAATAATACCTCAAATTCTGATTGGTGTGCAGTTTTTCTTTCCTAGGAGTGGTAGACCATTCTAAAAGGGATAGAATTGAAAACATGAAGAGTAGACTAGATAGTTCTCAGAAATAACTGAAAAAGATGAAGTTAGTAGAGCTAAAGGAGAAGATATTTGTCAGCAATTCAGATAATTTTCTAACATAAAAATTACTAATTTCATGTGCAATTGTAACTCATCTGTACATGAAACGCTGATTTTAGGATTGCCGTCACAAAATGCAGCAATCTAAACAACTGTTAAAAAAGAGAAGGCATTGATCTGCTTAGATAGATCATTTTCTCTTAGTTTGCACTTTTAAGAAATAATTGCATTATTTTTGTGTGAGAAGCACTGTTACTGTTTTAAGTCCCTTATTAAAGATACACGTTTTCCTAATCCCTGATTTTTCTCTCTTTAACAGGGAGTGTCTTGGGCAGCATGAGGTGAGTCATGGAAATTGGCTTTTGAAGTGGAATATGAAGGATATCTCAGTTTGTTAGTCTACAAAAAAAAAAGTATTAAAGAGAAATACTGTATTTTTTAAAAATATATTTTTAAAACCAATGCAGCACTTTATCACCAAGGCTTACATATCAGCAGGTCTTTTAAGTTCCTTTTTGAAGACTACATTACCACTTGAGGTTTTAGAATTTGTAGATGGAAATTTAATTCATGATTTATGAAGTGATTTGTGTATTCTTGCAGTTGTTTAAACAGTGTTTCAATTTTTGGGGAGCGGTCTTCTTTCATTATATGCTTGCATTGTTTGGGTTTTTCTTCCTTATTGTATAGTTATCATCTCCCTGTCCCACACTTTTCTCAGTTCTCCTAGAAACTGCTTAGTTTAAAAGGATAAGGAATGTAGTGTCATACAGGAAAATTCTCATGCGACTTGGGTCTGAACACATATGGCTGAAATCAAACAATGTAGTGGAAACTTCTGTAGTGTTACTTGTTAGCTTGTCTTTTTGGTGTGCGGCTTTCTCCAGTTTTGAATGAAGTCTCTGGCTATTTTGGCTTGCATGAGAAGAAAATCTTAACTAATACTTGAAGCAAAATATCTATCATCGTTATTCACAGTAATTTCTAAAAGTCGGGAAACTTAAGGTCAACTCATTTTTTCTGATTTTTAAAGATAATTGCTAGTTTAGCGATCTTATCTTCAAAAAAGCTATTGCTGTTACAGTTTTGTCTGCTAGTAAGTCTGGCATAAATCCACTATCAATGTGCAGCTGACAGTTCTAGAACAAACGTATTTTCATTTTAAGCCAATTAAAAATTCTAGAAAATAAATCTGCCTTTTTTTTTTTTTTCTTTCCTTTGGCCTTCCTTAATAATCGTTTGGTATGTGGTGTAATGGTGGCTTGATTACATGATGACAACAACTACAGATGTTGTTAACAAAGTTTATAAATCTGCAGTCTGTAGGGGCAGCACATTTATTAATCCAGCCAAGCTGAATACAATTTCCACAGAGATACTTTGTACTTTGTCAGTTGCTGAGGAAAAATGTGCTGTAAAAATGGGTGAAAAGAACAACTGTGTCTGTTTGGTTGTTGTTGAAACAGCTGACTTTTGCTTTTGTTTTCCACAGTAGAGCTTACAGGTGTATGAGCCAATGTTTTATCGAGTCAACGAGGTGTTTTGTCATTGGGCAGATTGAGTCTTACCCAAACTTTTCATGAACTTCTGTAAGAACGAAATGCAAGCTGTGCTTGCTGTACCCCATATATAACCTGCTCTAGACAGTGTTACTGGGTTTGCCACTAGTCAGATGTATATGGTTGTGAAGTTTATGTCCCTCCCCAGAACGATTGAGAGCTTTTCTTAGTAGAGAATGTGGTTCCAATTAAGTAAGTAAAAAAAATCCTTTCTTTGTTGCTACTGCTTGTAGCAGAATCAGTTGGAGGCTTTGAGTCATGTTTTCTCTATGGATTAGCATAGAAAATAAGGAAAAAATCCAGGGTGTCAGTGCCTAATTTTAATTATTTAGATTTATTGATGTTATGTGATATTCTAGATTAAACATTCCTTCTCTCAGCCAGCAGAGTGCAGTGCTTCCTTCTTGCTGAAGCTGAGCAGTTTCTGGAGTGGAATGGAGTGGAATGAAGCATCCTAATCTTTGAGATTTTGGTAGCAATCAAGAAAAAGAATAATGTGTTAATGTCTGTGTTGAGGGTGTGTTTGTAGTGTATTTTATGAGCACTGTACATTTTTATGTACAAGACTTGCAATATCTGTTCAGTGTCTTTCAGCCATATGGGCTCTTAAGAGGTAGTCTCACCTTGAACTCATTTATTTTTGTTTGTTAACAAGAGAAAGCGCTTGTATGTAGTTAGGAATATTCCCCTCCTATAGTAATTGCCAGCTCATGAGGAGATTTTCACTGGGAAATGTGAACTTTTCACAAGTGATGAAAGTAGCAATTTTCTAAAGCAAAGTTTTACCATGAAAGGGGGACTCACTGCTGTACTGTGTTACTCCTTAGGTTGAACTGTTGTTCCTATAATGGAGGAGGTATAAAAGAAACAAACTGGGAATGAAATGAATTATAAAGTTTTCTGTGTTTTACTGGGATGCCTGCAGACAATGAGTAGAAGACAAAATGAAAGCAAACAGTTTAGGAGCGGTATAATAAGCAAAACACTGTCTTTATGTTTTTACTTACACAGTAATTTGAATTTGTGTAGATGTTGGAGTTGTGCTTTCACTCTGGCATTTAGTTTAAAAAGTTTTTAATGGATTGATTTAGTTCAAACTCTTACGTGTCTTTGGTACTTAGAACAAGCAATTTATCACTTGAAACAGGAGACTTAAAACTACTGTTCAGATGATGTAATTGTATAAAATCTGTATCTAGTGGAAGTATGAATCTATACGATGTTTAACCTAAACTAAGATTTCGTTTAGCTACAGTGTGCAGCCTTCGCTTAAATAATTTTACTGTGCAAATTTTGAATATTTTCACATACATTTAGAAAAAATTAGTTACTCTTAGTTCTTAAATTTGTAGGTGTTTAAAACTAGCTCTCAATTTTGTTTCGAGTTGTAGGTCAAAACAATCACCTATCATCAATAATTGCTGCCACCTCAGAATGAAAGCTTGATGTTTTACTTTTTCTTTGAACCTGCCATAAGTACTGGCATTTCATAGCAGTAGCATATACATGCCCTTTAAAATAAAATTATGGGAACTAATTATATTCAAAATCTATTTTTATGGGAAAACATTAATTAAAGCCCATACAAAGTAAATAGGGACAAACAAGAAAATCTTAACTGAGTATAGTCTTAATTTGTTGCCTGTATTTAATTCTCTTGTGGCTGTTCCATTTCATTAAATATTCTAGGGGAAGAGAAACATTCTGATTTTGTTTCTGCAGTGAGTGTTTTGAATATCCTGTATTATCACTCTTGCTGTTGTCAGGCAGTTAGAACTCTCTCTTCTCTTTTTTTTTTTTGTTTTGTTTTTTTGGTAAGAATGTAATGCTATGTTTTATTATTCTCATGTGGTTTGTATTTTTTTCATTGTGGTTCATTTATAGGTGGAAGACCATTACTCTGCCTCTCGGCAAAATTTTATGTAAAACTTGATTAGATTCACCTTTATGTGTGAATACCTTATATTTCCAAAATTTCCCTGCCCTATTGTACTTGATTTTCATTTTTATATTCCAATTGAGGTATCTATTAGTTGCTTTTATGCATTTGGAAGACATGCTGGAAAGCTTCTGAAAGCTGTCTTGTCCTGTCTTCCTTGCCTTCCTTTCTTTATCCCATGGAGGACCTGTGGTTTGAAAATTATGCCTCCTTATTTTCTTTATTTTTTCCATTTAGCTGTCACAAAATACTTCTGGTTCTCATCTGCGTTCTTTATTATTCAGCTCATCAGCCTCCTGGAGTTTGTGGCTTCTTTGGTATTTGTCTTTGTAGGAAGTGTAGCGACCTCCATTTAGCTGTCTCAGGAATGTGTTCCAACTATAGAAAGTAAAACTTGTCTCTGCTTCATCCTCTGGATTTATTACTAATATTCACGGCAGATTGACTCGTCAAGAAATGGAAACAAATTTGAAAATGTAATGTAGATTTACGTTAATTGAAATTCTTTCGGTTTTGGCTACAATGTCAGTCGATTCCAGAAGGCTCTCTTATCTTCTGTGAGACTCGACACTTAGGAAGGTCAGTGAGTGAGGCGAGCGGAAGCGATGGTGTGGGTGCAGCCAGAGGGCTGGGATGTTCTCCGCAGTTGGCTCTCCGAAAGCTGCTACTGTTGTCTGTGAGCTTGTGTGCTTCCCTGCCCCCAGCTTCATTCAGCATCACCTCTCAGCTTGGTGTACGCGAGGAGTGCCACCAACAGGGATGCTCCACTTCTGCCGGTGAGCTTCTGCCACATCTCTTTAACTGGAGCTGCTGGCTGAGTCCATGTAAGGTGGGAGACTAACTGCTGGGAAAAGAAATCTCATCAGCATATTCAACTGTGCAGCCGTAGACCTGTTACTGTTACTGCCCTGATCTGCTGTGATTGCCTGAGCCACAGCAGAACCAGTAGTTGTAAAAATAAAAATGAGTGGAAATGGGGGAAGAAGGAAAGATAGAGAAGTGACAGATCTTAATGTTTAGTACACCTTTTCATTCATTCTTTTACCTTGCAGTATCCTTTGACTACTTAATGTTGCTACCGAGCAAATTGTGACTCTGAGGAAGGAGGAGAGAGATGGAGGAGAATGAGAAGGGACAGGGTACTAGAAACAATAAAAGCTTTGGTAGCTGGTGTGTGTTTTCTTGGTATAGTGCTATTCTCTGCTTCAGACCCTCTTTTTCTTAGGCCTGTTGCTGTCTCTTGTTCATTTGGTCAACAGAACCGTAAAGCATCAGAGACTTGAGTTGTAGGAAGTTCGCAGGAGCAAGTGAGAACGAGACATTCGGACTACTTGCTATGTTTTTATAACTGCTTTAGCCAGCATGATGAGCTTCAGCTCTGACATAGGGATGGGAGAGTAGTTGAACATGATAGCCTCAAGGCTTTGTCCTCCGTGTTCCAGGCTTGATGTTCAGCCTGCAATGCAGCCTCCCGCTGTTCACAATCTCTGTAGGTCAGGGTGGGAAGAGGAGGAGTTTAGAAGTCTTGTGAATTAATTGCATTTTGCAGCGACCTGATGTACGGTCTTTTTTTCAGAAATCGTTTCTGTAGGCAAGTGGGTTCAAATCCTTCTTTGTATATTTTTGCTGTGGGACTGCGGGAAATCAACATGAACAGTGCTGAAAGGAGAATGTCCCTGGCTCTGCCCCATGGAGGACCATCTGCTCTTCCCTCAGTTGAGTTCCAGTGCTCATCTGGGTATACGGCCAACCAGCTTGCGAACTTAGAAAAAGACAAGGAACTTTTCTCCTATTAATTCCTCTTCTTCTGCTTTGATTAGCTGAATTGTCTTGTTCTAAAGACAGATGTGTGGTAGGACTTGTTCTAAGTGGTAGGAGTGTGCAATTAGGATTGTAGAATTGGAAGAGAGGAAAGGAAGGGGCACAGTGCGAAGCTGTTCACTCAGCTTAAGCCATAACACAAAATCACACCCTTAGTCTAGTCAAAGTGTGTTATGTCGCATTAACCTATTGTGTAATAACATCACAAATAGTTTCTGATTTTCTCTGTGAAATGATCATGGTATTCTTAAAAAAATCAATTGATTTGACAGCATCACAGAAACAGTTTTTATGCATGAGAATATTATATAATGGTTGGAAAGAGGGAACAGCAAGTTTCCTCTCATGCTTGTGATATGGAGGGACCTGTACTGTTCAACTTTAGGAAAGTAACCTAGTTAATCAAGTTAGGAATTTTCACTCCATTTCAGTACCAATGAAAATTGAAGGCTTCTAAATAGATTTTCTGAATAGTACTACAAAGCTCTGTTAACTAGAGTGTTAACCTCAAACTAAATAGTACAAATGTATCATAAGACATTAATATCCTAGTACTGTTATAGAACCATTTCTTCTTCACCTTCCCACTCCTGGAAATTTTATTGGATATAATTGGTATTTGGTTTTTAGAATTTCTGGCTTGCAGGTTGTCTTCTGTTTGTAGAATTGTAAAATGTTTGGGGCTTATGATGACCTTAACACAGTTAGCCCTGTGAAAGCAAACTGTAACTCTCTTCTACAATAACTATAAAGCAGTTTAGGAACTTTTAATGGAAGGCATGAGTGTAGCTTGGAAAGAAGGAATAGACCATACTGAAAGATTTGAGAATGTAAGCCTGGGGGTTTTCGTTGTTTTAAAAGAAACTATGTTGCAAAATTTAGCTTGCATAATTACGAGCGTTGGCTTTTTTTACCTGGTATAATTGGTGTGTGAAACCTGCATGGTTATGTTGGGATGGGAACCTAAAGTCTATTAAAAAGAAAAAAGGTCAAACAGACATTGCATTGTTTTTCTTTGTTTAACAAAGATACTTAGGAACCCAGATTTCTTGTGTAGTGATGCTCTGCCTCTGTGTGTGTACATGTGTGTCTATATACATTCTGTGGGTATATATATGCATATATTTATCTTTTAGGTTAGTCCATTACCATGTCACTCTGCAAATCCCTACTCGTGTAAAAGATTTTGTGGGCGACTTCTTGATTGTCAGAATCACACCTGTATGAGAGAATGCCATCTTGTTACTAAATTGGACAGTAGTGCAGATGGAAAGAAGGTAGGTTGACTTTCTTTTTTATTTTATTGTTGTATATTTTATACATTGTCTTCAGTTTCAATAGGAAAATAAAGAATTTGCAGCTGGAAGGCACAGGGTCTTTTCCAGATTCCACTGGGAGACTCGCATGTGTTCTATTCTCAGTGATGCTGTGACATTTAGCTAATCAATACTTCAGACTGTAAAACTGAGACAATATTACATATTTTGCAAATGCTATTCTTTTTTTGGTTTATGTTAGCAAACATTACTTTGTTAACCCTCTTGACAAGTCTCTTCTCAAGTCAGTTTTTGTAACTGTCAAGATCAAATGGACTACTGATAATCCATAGATTGCTGTATACTGGGGATATGCTTTGGAGAGGAGAGCTCTCAATGGGTTGAGGAGGCTGGCAAATCTGTAGGAGAGAGGACTGGAAACATTGCAGAATAGATAAAGGCTTCTTAAAGCCCTGGGATGGTATGTTCATGTTCATCAGGGTCTACTAGGAACTGTCATTTATGTGATTAAGAAGATGTAGGTGTTAGTTGTTGAAGATAATATGAGACAAAAATGAAAGTAAGTGCAAAGCTGAAAACCATTCCAATTTTGAGCAGGCAAAAGCACATTGCTTGCTCTTTGAGAGTCATGATTTGGACAAAACCAGCTTTTTAAGTTTTTAAAGCACTACTTCAGAAGAAGTTGCAATGTGATCTCTCTGGGCATTTAAAAAACTTAGCAAGCGTTTAGTTGGGCACAAAAAATAAATGTTTAAAATTTATCTTGCCATCACTTTTTAAGCTAAATAGGACAAAAGCCCTGTGAATTACAGTCCTAGAAGCAGTGTTGTCATCCAATGACTGTAGTTACTGTACTACAATTAATGATTTTGGAACTTTTGTCCGAGGCATATGAGCTGTTAGTGCAACGTGTGGAACGGTGTCTTGAAGCAGCAGAGTGACATCAATAAATATTGAGAGTGACAGTTGTTTAAGCATCTCCAGTTATGACTGTAAGAGGCAGCCTGCCTGCTGCTTCAGGTAAACCAATTAAAATGTCACTGGGTCAGGCTTATTCCTGGCTCCACTTTGAATGAGACAATACATTCTCAGAAAACAGGAGGCTTAGGTAAACGTCAGGTTACGGGTAATCTTATTTTTAGATTTTACTTGAATTTTTATAAACTCAAGTTGATTTTGATCTTTAGAGCTTTTGTTCTATTGTTCTGATAGACTAAATTGCAGGTGTAATCAGAAAAGTGTTGATTATATTTCTTGTTTATATGTCTCAGTAGTCATTATTCTGTTCGGAATTTAAGTTTCTTCTGCATGTTGTGTTAGAAAATGTTGCAGAAAGGCAACCTGTTTGCTTTTACTGACTTAAATTTTATATTGCAGTTTTCTAAATGCTTTCAGTTGCTATTTTCTTTCTTGGTTGTGAATATTTGGAGGTTACATTTTGTAAATAATCATTGTACAAAGGTTACTCTTTAAACTCCAGCAAGAGTTATTCAGCTGTGGAAGCAGGAGGAAACTGGAAAAAATGGGGGAAAACGGTATTAAAAATTAAATTCTTATGCCCTTATTTTTGGACAGCATGAAGTGAAACATTGGCACAAAATTAGTCATTTAGGAGAAGCATTGTGTAGCTTTATTCTTGGATAAATTTGGTTTAGTTTGACTGATGTCTGTGAAGCTGAGCATTTGAGTGTAATGATGGGCCTTAACCCCTGTGCTGTGTCAGTTCAGCTGGTAAATCATGTCAGTCTCTCTGTGTGTACTTGCAGACTGGGATTCTGGATGAGTTATTAAGATAAGAATATGAATAGAAATGGAGCTTAATTTACTGTGCCCATGTTTGTCAGCTTGTGCTGATGTTGATCGTGTTGCCTGGAACGAGAATGACACCAGAGAGCTCTTGCAGACTCTGTGGTACAGGGAGTGGAAGCAACACCTCAGGAGCTCCCAGCACATCACCTAAGCTCATGCTTTTTGGAAGGTTATACAAACTGTCATACACATATGGAAATGGAATTACTTAAAGTTTACTTCTCAAAATCAAGCAAACAAATCTCCCCACCCCTGTATTAAAGAACAGTACATCATGACAAAAGTATTACAATAGCATGGTGGGTGGGAAAAGTTAGTTCTGAATATGAAATTACTTCTTTTTCTAATAGTTCTCCATAGAGAATTAACAGGCTTTATGACAATTTCCCAAAGCACTAATATTAAGAAGTGCTTTTATGCCCAGGAAGCAAAATAGAACTCTGTCTCTTTGACCAACAAACACTGGCATTTCTGCTTTTCTTGTAAAAGCGTATTTTAATAACTATTTTTGCCTGAGGGATATCTTACTGGATAGCTGGATTCCTTAGGAAAAATCACCCCAACTCATTCTTCTCTGCAAGAGCTGGTTAATGGCATCTAACAACCAAATGTTTGGCACTTTCTTGAGTATAGAATCATAAAGATTGGAAAGGACCTTAAGATTTTCAAGTATTTTGTTTTTATTTTCTTAGGCAGGTCCGGAGTGTTCACAGTGTGAAGAGGAGTGTACCAAGCCCCGGCCATCAGGCTGTCCTCACCCCTGTGTTTTGCCATGCCATCCTGGGGATTGCCCATCCTGTCTCCAGATGCTTAAAATAAAGTGTCACTGCAAACTCTCCATACTGTATATTGAATGCTTGTAAGTGAATTTGACCACCACTAACTGGAAACCACTTGAAATGTCTGAGGATGGGAGTTGCTCTTAGGGCAAGTAATAGGCTTTCTCCTGAAGGTTGTGATTCATAATATATTGGGGCTTTATCTTTAAAATTTGCCAGTGTTTGGTTTGGTAGTATGGCTGAAGTTATTATAAATGCATGGAATCTTGTGAGCAGAACCAGTTTTTATGATTTTGTTTAATACAGTAATATCTTGAATTATGCATGTAACATCTACATTATGTTTGATCTATATATGATTCTTTTGCAGTTTTTAAAGAAGAATTTTATAACAAGAATAAGAATTAATGTAGTTAATGTGAAAGGTCTTTACAACTAATGTCTTTCAAACTCTAGCTGTTTTAACTGAAGTACTTTTTAATAATTATTTATATTCCTTTTTAATCATTTGCATGTGTATGGATGGTGGATTATCTAGGTTTTAGTGAATATAAGATGAGACTTGTGGATTTAAGCATTAACCTCTCTGTATTGTTCTGAAAGCATTCATCCCATGCATGTATCTTTTTTGTGTATTTACTTGAAAGAACCTCAAATCCTATAAATTTATGGGATTTTATCAGTAAAATAGTGTACATTATATTAGACCCACAGGATGTGCATGAATGAACTCACTTCTCTTTACAGTGACATATACTTAAAATATATACCTAACTGTATTGACTTCTGTTTTGAATTTGGAATATATGACAAATCTTTTCACTTCCAGAAAACTAACACGTGCCGATTTAAAAGAGAAGGAGCTTCTTATTTCCTGTAAAAATCAATGTCCAAAAGAGGTAAGCCATATTAGTGAAGAAAGACTTGATTTGATGGAAGTGTGGAATTTTCTGGATTTTACTTTTTTGGTAAGGTTTTTGACAGAGTTTCATAGGCCAGGCAAACTAGAGAAGCTTGGTCTAAATGAACATGCTAAATGGTAGATGTGAAGGTGGTTAGTGAACTGTACTCAGGGGACAATTGTTAATGTCTTGCTCTCAAATTGAAAGATTATATTGAAGAATCAGAGATTGGTCTCTGAGGCACTAATGGCTTGAATGTTTAAGCATGCAGATGAGGTTGAATGTGGAAGAATATGTCCTCTAACGTGGTTAAAAACTGGTCTTGAATTTATATTTCCAAAATAATGAGAAGCTGTTTGATTAGGGAAGAATACTGAGAATTGTGCTTGTGATTGTTCTTGTATAAGAGCAGGTCTAGTAATCCCTGTCTGTGGAACATTTCGGGGTGGGGTTTTCTTGAACTTAACAAGTGAGATAAGTTAAGAATGCCCTGTTGTGTTAGTGAAATGCATGTTGTGTGAAATAAGACAAACCATTTAATCATTCTGCTGTATCTGGGTATATCTCAAGTGTTGCTGTAAAGAAGAGAAGAGTATCTTTACGGCATGGTGCTTAGACTAGGAACCAGGGTATGTAGGCATCAGGAAGGAAGGTTCGTGTTAAATAAAATTTTTTAGTAGTTAAGCTTGTGGAGCAGAGAAAGAACTGGTTGGAGAAACTGTCAAATTTTCATGAGTAACAGCTTAGACATATATAAGGGTTTGCTCAGCTGTGGATAATGCTGCTGTAAGACATGAGAGGTGGGACGAATTATTTCCTTGTCCCTCCCAGTGCTGCTGTTACGTGCCTCTTACGTGCTTTGAGAAATCCATATATTACTTATTATGTTAGGTTTGTTCCTCAGTTGTCATTAGTTGTGGTGAGAGTGACAGACCTTTCTTCACTCTCTTCCCCACTGCAGCATTAGAAAATTTATGAAGTGGAAAACCAGGAACACTCAGGAATATTGTAGAAAGTATTTCTACTGCTAAACTCTCCATAATTTCTCATTGAAGCCTCCTTTCCTGCAATGACAATGATTGTAGTAAAGCAAATATTTTAACCCATAACGACTTACTGTTTTGTTGTTCTGCTTTGGCCTTTTACTGTGGAGCTGAGTCTCTCTGTCTCGTGTAACACTTAGCTGGCACTCATAAATCATGTGATTCAACTCATTCTCCTTCCCTGATTCCATTCAGTGCCCTTATGCTGGTTTGCCTATTGTGTCCTCTAGTCTTCTTTCTTCATCTCTTGTACTTCTGAATTCTGCCTCGACCCAATAAACGTAGATTCAAAACTTTTCTTTTGTTTCATTATTTTCCAGTGTCAGAAGCGGCAAATTTGGATCCTTGCCTTTATTGAAAAGGGTTTTTTTTTTGTTTTGAATAAATGAGAAAATTCACAGGATTCCTGCTTGTTTCCCAACAGTGTCTGTTTTTCAGACAAGATTGCATTAACTCCAGCAGGAAGGCTGTGCTCTGTACCTGCTTTTATCTTCTCTGTTTTGCCCTTGTAGTTGCCTTTCTGATTTTTTTTTTCTGCAAATGAATGTGCCTGTCACAGTTTTCTTATCTGGATGTCTGAAAGCTCTCTTTCTGGCAAAGGAACACTTTGGGATATTATTTCACTGTCCATTTACCTCTTAATTTTGTCCTTTCATTTCCCTCTCTGTTACTTTAGCTTTATTTGCTCCAAGACTTCCTCCACTTTTTTTTTCAAATCTCTTAACACGAATTATGTGTTCCTATATTTCAGCTTCCCTTCAAAGACTTTTTTTTTTTTTCTTCCATATCTCATATTTGACTTTGATTAATGTAACTGTTGTGATTTTTCTGGACATGTTCCCAAAACTCAATCTGGGATTTAAAAATCCATGTAGTGGTCCTGAAATCTAGCTTGCGGTTCAGAATTGCCTTGTTCTGCAGATGATGGCTTTTTTTTTAATTAATTTAGCAGGATGTGAGAGAAAGCTTAGGACAACAGAGTCCACTTCAGTTTTATAAAGCTTTTAGTTAACTCTCAAATTGTTATTCCTCTAGATGCCTTGAAAAACAAGGTTTTATACAGCTTCTGCGATCCAGAGAATCTTTTGAGTGTGATTGATTGTGTAAAAATGCATGCTCTTCCTTTCCTGTGATTCTAGCTCTGGCTTTTCTTGGCTTACTTGAAACATAAAGGTATTAGCACAGTCCTGCTTCAGGTAGTTCATATCTTTGCAATACCATTTATCCTGCTTTCCTCAGATCTAAAAAAAATAATTCCCTGAAAAATCATCTCTGAACATTGAACAATGCTAGGGCTGATTTGTCTATTTTATAAGTCTACAATATTTGTCTGCAGCTTTGGGAAAATGAGCTAGCTGTATCATAATACAGTTAGAACTGATAGTTCTCTTTTAAAGGAGTCATTGATAAACACAATTTGAAGGAGCAGTCTGAACAGACATCACCCTGCCACTGCGACCTCCAACTCCTCTCTCCAGTAAATACTGATCAAGCCCATTGTTTGACCAAAGAGCTTGGCCAAAATATGGGTAAGATAACCAAACTTAAAGCATTTAACGTTTACAGATCAAATATGTCTACCCCAAACTAAGTTGGAAATGTTTTGGTGTGTAGTCCTGACACCCTCAAGTAAATTTCAAATCAGTGTTTTATCAGAATTTTCTTATTCAATGTGAGAGGCTGACCTTGGGTCATTAGCAGAGCTCAATGAAGTTGCTGTTTGCTAAAAATCAGTGTGCTCTTCACAAAGCTTAGCATAGTGCAGCTTAGGTTCAGTAGAATACAGTATTTTACTGAAGTCTTATTTTTGAGATTTTTCTTCTTCTCTGATGGAAATGGTGGTAGATTGTATGCTACCATATTTGAATTACAGAAAGAGTCTTGCATTTGGGGATTATGAAAATCAATTATGTTGTCTAGAGCCTTGAAAAAATACAATGGGAACTTGAAAGTCTTGGAAGGCTTCATGGTTTTGTTTTGGCTGTGCCAGTATGAAACTATAAAAATGACTTCTAGTATGATACAGTACAGCTCACATTTCCTTTCTGCTTTAGGGAGATGCAGAGTCTTTGATATTGCCACAGCTGTTAGATGAGATGCTCTATTAAAAAAAGCTCTTTCTCTTGTTTGGTAGCAATTGCAAAATATCCTGTTGAAGGAAATGTAACTTTTTTTTTTTAAATCGGGGTTATTAAATTCTTGTGATCATGTTTGCAGATGTTTTGGGACAATTCTCATGTAGAAGTTTTAACAATCTATCAGTTTTCATCCTTTAGGTATTCATATCAGTATTTGCAGATCTGTGTTTAATATTTTATTCTGTGTAATGAGTATTCTTGACAAAATAACCATACTGTACTTTTACTTTGCACTACAATACTCTGCTATTGTCTTGATGTGAAATATGGGACCCCATTGGGATAAATTTATTTTAATGCGGTAGTGCAGTAGAGACAATGTCATAAATTCTAAGAGTAAACATATGTTTTTTTTAAATAAATGAAATAAATTTTATTTCCAGAATGCTTAATTAAATTCTGTAAACATGCCTTGAAAATGTATATGAGTTGCAAAAATTTAATTTTAAAAACAAATACACAGCTTTGGTCCGTAATGAGGGGATTTTCGTCAATGTCTGCCTTAAGCAGTGGAAGTTTTCATAAGCTCTCTGGAAGCAGAGCCAACGGTTAAACTGAAGTGTCTGCCCCTTTGTTTGGAAGTGATAAACTTACCTTTTCTACATATCTTGTAGGATTCTTGCTCCAAATTGCTGTTTTCTTTATTAACAGATTTTCTTTGTTATCAGGTGTGTAATAGCAGGTTCTGTTTATGACCTTCTGGTAAAGATCAGTTAAGCCCCTCTGTAAATGTTATTGGGTTTTATCATCATCAGGCATAATGTTAAGATTTAAATGCATCGCCTATGGGGAAAATACTCATAGTATTTTTTCGTTTGTTTTGTTTTCAGAGCTATGGATTAAATCCCTTTCTTTTAAAGGCTTTCTGTGGTGGGCTGACCCTGGCTGGTGATCAGGTGCCCACCAAAGCTGCTCTGTCACTCCTCTGCTCAGCTGGATGGGGGAGAGAAAATATAAGGAAAGGCTCATGGGTCAAAATAAGGACAGGGAGATCACTAAGCAATTACTGTCGCAGGCAAAACAAACTCAATTTGGGGAAATTAATTTAATTTATTACCAATCAAATCAGAGAAGGGTAATGAGAAATAAAACCAAGTCATAAAAAGTCAAACGTAAAGCCCATTCATTTTGGCCTTTAGTCCACAAGCTTTTGACAAGAGAACTTGTATGGTGAAAAAGACCTAAAGGGGCATACACCTTCTATTTCAACTCTAATTAGCTCCGCACTTAAAAAACAGGCAAAAAAAAAAAATCCTTTCCCGCTACATTATTTATCCAGCAGTAGGATTGCTTTTGTTTTCTGATATCATGGAGAAATGTTGTTTTGCCATTTGTTCACTGCTGCTTTTGAAATTTTTTTCCCAATATTATGTTTGCATTGGAGGGGCTAAAAAGGTTACACTGCCAGTTTCATTCTTGTCCTGCATCTCTGGGGGTGTGAACTGTGTAGTTCTGTTCAATAAAGTAAATGTATAAATTTGGGGTTCAGTATTGGATTAAAGATATTTCTGTGCTATGCAAATTTTGCATAGCACAGAAATACCTCTGCGGTGTAAGAATTTTTACTGCAGTAGCACCTGGAGGTTGACGTGATGGCTGCTGTCTTGAATTCACAGCTCGGACATGTCAGTTGTAAGACTATTTGGATTTTGACACTATTAATGGAAATGTGCCTAATTAGTGTGGAGGGGTAAGCTGGAAGTAATAGTTCTAGCCATGCCTTGTTCTGGGCAGCGTGGGATGACTTGCAGGTGAGACTAGGTTGTGTTAATTGTGTGTGATGCTCTTGGGGCAGGGAGCCAGGAGAAGGGCCACCATACTTTGCAGAGGTCATGCCAGTAGCAAATTGTTTTTGCAAAGGTTGTGGTTGCCAGTGAGCAGACTCAGCTGTTAGGCTCCGTGTTCTGGCTGATAGTCTGACCTCAGCAGCGTGCAAGGCCTAAAGACAAGTTTCTCCCCTCATCTTTGCAAAATGAGGCAAAGTGCAAAATAGATTTGCTAATGATCGCTTGTGCTTGAACAAACTGACATTCTGTCTCTGATAATACAACCAATTTGGGGGTTTCTTCCTTCTGGTTAAAGCAAATACATTAGATCTGTTTCATAAGGCTTCAGCAGAGCAAGGGAGTCAATGCTGCATAGTGAATGTATAGTTCAGATATAGATGAGAGTTAATGCAAGGTTGAAGATGAGCTAAAAGAAACAACTGCATGTATTATGTTAATTTAAAAAAACCCTACCCCCCAAAACCCAGAACAACAACAAATGAAAAGTAGGAGCAAGGGATGTTAACAATATGGAATTTTTCCCAAGGACTGGATCGATGCTTGACCTTGCATTGTTTTCAGTAATGACCTTACCACCAAAAAATGCTGGATGATGAAGATTTGTGAAGTGTCAGTACATGACAATTGAGGAAACGCATCTGCAGAACACATGTATTTGGGGCATCTTACTAGATTAAAAAAAAAACACAGCAGGACCATGCATGGCAAGGCTAATAAGAAGCTCCCAGGAAACAGCAGAAGTTATTATCACAACGTGATTCACTGGAGAGAAATGCAAATGAGAGCTGAAGATGTATTGGGGAAGATACTCTATTAAGAATAAGGTGCAATTAAGGCATGGTACCAAGTCCTTCCTGCTGCGATGTCATTTGGAATATTACATGCTGTTCTGGCTACTGCATTTAAGTGAAACCTTGATTGAGGCTGGTTGAAATTCAATGAAGGGAATATTATGTGAATAAAGAGCCTTTTATAAAAGGACAGTGGAGAAATATTGAAGTATAAGGGTAAGAACCTGAGGGGTTTAGACTGCCTGGAATCAATGTAGGAAATAAATAAAAAAAAAAAAGCTCTTACATCTTGTAGTGAGCTCCTGGATCATCCTCCTTAGCCAAAGTGTAGCAGGGGAGCGAAGTGGGGGGCTGTCTTCATTGCAAGACAGTCCTAGAGGCATCAAAAGAAGTACCTTTCTTTAGGAGGAGTAGACTTCAGGCCTAAACGTGGTGACTTAGAACTTGCTTCTAGTCCGATGTGAAATGTGCTGAAATGGTGGCTAAAAAACCCCCACGCCTAAACCACAAAATATCTGTCAGTGTAATAACAGGTTGTGACTGGCATGAACATGAAAATGTGTATGTCCACATAATTTTTAGCTGGAAAGTCTTGAGTTCTGTTTAGATCGTGTTTTTCATGATACTAGCTCAGAGGTTGAGCCAGTTCCAATGGACTTCTGAGAATTTACAGCTACTTAGCAACACCTGGGTGTTAGCTCAGTCAGTAGAGCATAGCGCTAACAATGCTAAGGTCGCGGGTTCGATTCCCATTCGTTTCCTGTTTGGTCCCCGTGTGTTGCCTGATCATAGTCGAGAGATGGCGTCTATGGCGGCAGGGAGGCTGGATTAAAATGATCTCTAAGGTCCTCTCCAGCTTAGGCCATTCTGTGATTCTGTGATAATTGTCTTATGTAGTTCTCTCTTCCTTGTGGATGAAGCGAGTGTAATATGTATAATTTTCAATTTTTAATAAATGTGAGGAAAAAAGATATCTTTAAATTATGTGTTTTACAGCATTTTCCAAGTTGTGTTAGTCTCTTGATGACAGTGAAGAGGTGGAATTTCGCTTTTAGTGAAGAACACTATCCATTGCCATTTCAAATAGTTTGAGGACTTAAGGCTATTTCTATAAATAAATTGATTAGATGTCTTATTTGAGATTCCACCTTCAGTTATTAACAGTATTAGGTTATGTAATTGAAAATGAAAAACCATAATTGTGAAGTTTTCATATAGAGGTTTGTGAGTAAGGACTATTTTCAGTGAAATAAGTGAAAAAATGCTGAGAGAACTTCTTAACAGTCAGCATGTTTAAATTAGTATCTCAACTGTTAACACAGTAATTGAATGGTAATGTTTTCATTATAAATGTCAGAAATTGCACTGACACTAAAATAGTCTCTATCTCTCAGATAGCAGAGATGGGATAATTTGCCAAACGCAGAAATGCAGAGTTTTCTGAAATTGTTTTGGACACATTAAGAGTATTGGTGATCTGTATTTGACAGAAGATTCTTGCATGCAAAATTTTCTTTTGTGGTCTTTTGGCTTCTGATTCTTCCCTGTGTTTTTTTGTTGTTGTTGTTATTGTCTTTGTATCATCTACAGATTGCTAAAGCACAGTTAATTTAAGTTTTCGATTTCTTTTTACCTTATCTACTTGTATTCCCCTGACACAGAGACAGCTAGAGTAATTGTTGTATAAATTACTGTGGAGATGAGTATTCTTGAACTATTTGAAAGGAGACATTTTTTTTCATCAAGCTGTGCCAATAGTAGATAAATTGTTCTACAGGTACTGAAATACAGTAAATAACAAGGAAACATTTGTCTAAAAAAAAAAGAAAAATTGAACATTTCACAAGTGGAGAAAGTGATAATCTGAATGAGTTTTCTGTTAAGCTACTTTGTCTGAAATAAACCCACTTCATAGATTCTCTGTAATTTTAGACTCTTTTGACGTGAGGGTTTTGGTTGTGTGTTTTGTTCTTTGCAGTTGCCCTGTGGTCACCGGTGTAAAGAGGTTTGCCATTCAGGAAGCTGTCCTCTGAACTGCAGCCAGAAGGTTAAACTCCGATGTCTCTGCAAGAGACTGAAAAAGGTAAATTTCTGAGTCAAAATTTTGAGAACAGTGGTTGTTTGGTTTTGGGTTTGTTTTTTTTTATGTTCCTAGGCTTGTATGGATGGATTGTCTCTGCTGCAGATTAGAATAGGTCCAGTTACTCTAGTAGAGCTATAACAGTTCACATCAGCTGAAAATGTGGGCTGCAATATTAAAAGATTCACTGGAGATTGTAAAAGCCTGTTAGTTGTAAAATATGTTAGCTGCCTGACTTAAAATACCTTTATCTTCAAGCACACTTGAATTTTTGTAGCTCTATTGGGAGAACAGTCAGATGACCTGGAGTCATCTAAGAAGAAAAAAATATATTCTTCTGATGATATTGGGAAAGTTTCTAATTGCAGAAAGTGGAACAAGCACAGATGTTGTGGATATCTAACTAATGTAATCTAATGCAAATCTAAAAGCTGGTACATACAGCAACATTCTTAGCTTCTAACAAAGATAATGGACAAAGTAATGTAACAAGTTTATTGTAGCTATATAGCATTATGAGAGGAAGACCGGAAATTGATGCAAAGTCTTGGCAAATAATAATGAATTCATGAAAAAAATCATTATCTGGCTTAATTGAAAGGTGCTTAGATTATTTTTCTTGACCCAGTTAACTTCTGAGCCTTCCATACAGGCTGCGGTTCCCCAGAGTTCTTGGCTTCTCTGAGAAATATTCTGTGCAACCAGAAGTCTTACAGGTGGGGCGTTCAGCAAGAGAAAGGATGACACATACAGAACAAGTACTTCAGATAACCACCTTTTTTTCTTTCTTCGGTATTAGGGGGATTAAGTTTGACTGGACTTTTTTTTTTTTTTTCCACTCCATGGCCGGACCTTGCCCTGTGTCATCTCGCCCAGTTAGAGAACGTGTGTGAAATTACTGAGACTCTGAGTGCTAGCTCTTTCTGCCAGAGTTTAAAAGGTTATCTTACTCTGTGTTAAGCAAACAAGTGAGGAAAGAGAAGACATGAGAACTTGAACTGGACTATTTGATATATTCTTGCTTTCAGCTTAGTTTATCAGAAAGAGGGAAAAAAGGACAGTTTTATACAGAATTACAGATTCAAGTAACTGTTAATATTAGCTTTGTTTTATGTGTAACCAATGTTTTACTAAATATGAATGATTTCTAATTTTGTTTAAAATGGGCATTATAACTAAAAATCTTATGTAGAAAATGATGTTAAAAGCCTCAAATTATACTTACAGGAAATACAGTGCAGCAAGATACAAGAAGGCCAAGTTTCACTGGAATGTGATGCATTATGCAAGGAAATGAAACGGAAAGCATCTGAGGTAACATATCTGTTGTAGCTATATTTTCTTCTCAGTGCTTCAAGAAAAGCAGGAGAAAATAAACACAGAATTATTTTTCACAGCAATACCAGCAAGAAAATACAGCATAAGTAGATGTGCTGTTCAGTAGCAGCTACTTTTTCAGTCTTGCGTTTGGCTTAGTGGGGAGAATTACAGTGTTTGCACACTGTTAATTAACTCAGTGAAGTACCGTGTTAAAACAACATTCTGTTATTTACCTTTTCTATTTTTTAATTTGTTAGAATCAGTTCTTTCCTCTTCCACTGTGAACAAGTGATGATGAGTCATGACAAAACCATCATTGCTGATGATTAGGTTGCTGTAGGATTAGGGCCAGGCCACTTCCCAGGGCATTATTAGATCTGTTTTTTCCAGTGAAAGTTTTGCAGTCATTGCCTGCTCGACTTGACCAGGATGAATAGTTTCATCCTGTCACGTATTAATTACCCTCTATCACAAAAAGGGAGAGTTTTCAGCAATTGCAGTATACTCTTTAGCCTGCTGTAAACGTGACATCTCCCTAGTTCTGCTGGTTTACGAAGTAAGGAAGTTGTGGGCTATCACCCAGAGAGATAATATCAACCTTGCTCTTATAAGCCTTTCATAGAAATCATAAACAAAAAGGAATTGGTGCAGAACTTGCTTGATTTTTATCAGGTGTTAGATGTAATAAATGTACAATGCAAAAACTCAGTGGCTGAAGCGGACTTTTGTCAGCTTCTGCTCAGACTTGCAGGATTGATTGGCAAGTTCTAACGAGTACCACATGGACCAAATCCTGCAGGTCTGCAAGCAGGTCCAATGCTAAGACTCCTGGGATATGCCTTTGGAAAATCCCAACTGTAACAAACAGGCCCAGTACGAGCGTGAAGGTAAATTCATAGGATGTGCAGGGCACTAAAGCAAGGTGAATTTGTGAGAGACTGCATGAGCTGGGACGCAGCAGTGTGTCTCGGTGTGGCGTGGTACAGTGTCAGCTGCCTTCTTACTTCAGCACATCCTAATTCCTATTTCTCGCCCCTGACATGGCAATCCACAGGGAGCAATGGTCTAATGCAATGAGCAAATAACAAGTTTCTACTATAAGCAATGCTGCTGACATACTGTGCGTCATAACCTAGCTATGTGTACCTTCCTCACAGAAGAACATGGATTTAATTGGGTTGGGCTTCTTATATGAAGTTAAAAAGTTCTATTAAACTCTTACTAGGGAGCTTTTTATAGCCTGTGTGTGCTTGTAATGACATACTGTAATGATATCCTATTATAGACACTTGACAACAGTCGTTTATTATGTCAGTTACTGCTTAATGTGTCAAGACTGGAAAAAGTCTTTTAAAAACTGCAGGCATTTACAAAGATAGTTTGTGCTGTTGCAAAACTCGAGTGTATTAACTCTTAATAAAACTCTTCATGTATAGCACCTAGTGAGTATGCACTTCTGAGGAGTTGAGAGCATCTTTTACTGTACATTTTATTAATGAAATAGTTCTAGAAATGTTTTTCCATCCTGTGGTTATAGTGGTTAAGCTTCCCTCTACCTATGTCTATTACACCTGTGTATATTACACAAATATGACCACACCATGGTAAATAGAAGCTCTTCTGTTGGTTTTTTTTCCACACTTGTGGGTCACTTTCTTTTGGAGCTGAAGTTCTGCCGTTAGATGGCAGTGAAATAGCAGGAGGTTAGTTGTGCAGTTTTTCTACACCTGACTTTCTGATTTCAGATGTAGGTGGCTGAAAAGGTCTTCTACGTGCTTTTCCGAAGAGAGACTCTGCCATTCTGTCTAGATTAATGACATTCTCAGTAACGCTTTAGTTTGATATACAGTATTTAAAATTTAAAAAATTTTCTGAAATCCTGCAAAACAGGGCTCTTCTGTTGGCCATGTCCTCAGTGCACACTGTTTGAGCTACAAGTGTGCTAAAACATAGACTGCTGCATTTCCTCCTTTGTTATCAAGAGCTCTTGAATTGCAAATTGTTTGGAACAAATTCTGCCTGTGCAAACCATATTTAGTAAACTATTGTCACTGTTAGTATGCGAACCATCCTGTTACTAGGGTTAAGGCTGTTTTTTTCATCTCAAGTTATTTATCAGATTTTTTTACAGCTAAGCTTTTCTAAAGTGGTCACAATGAAAACTGCAGGAAGGGAGACATATATTTCCCCAGTATAATCTTCCTGTTACTACTGTTACTGTAGTGATCTCTGACTGGGCACTTTAGAGATTGAGCTGGTGTCTTTTTGTTTAATGGCTTTTTGCTGAATTTATCTTCTGTTAGCATGCCTAGTTGTTTTTCAGTCAACATAAGCTTTTGGCATCTATAAACATCCTGTAGCAGTGAATTTCTAGATTTAGCCAAATACTATGTGGGATTGGAATACTTCCCTCTGTTATGAACAAGCTTCCTGGTAATTTCATTTTATGCTTTTTTATTTTGTATTATGAAAAATAATTATTGATGGTTTATCCCTGTTTGGCATCTTCACACTCTTCATGATTTTGTGCCCTGTTAGTCACCTGATGAATCCTACCTAGTTATGGATCTCTTCTGTTGTCTCTTGCATATGTTCAGGCTTTACGTTCTTTTGTTCTTGCAGGACCAGAACTCAATGAAGGAGCTAAGATTCAGTGCATCACACGTTCACACATTGACATTTTTTCCTGTACCATTCTTGTCTTAATAATTTTGAGCATTTATTTTATTTTGTTTTCTTGAACACTACAAAACTTTTCTATAGCAATTGTAACTCCCCTGACTTCTTTTCACATGGCTTTCTGGTGGTGGAGCCTTTTTTTTTTTTTTTTGTTACATTTGTTTTGCATTACAACAAGAGCTTTAAACCAGTTTGGTTATGCATTATCCAATATATGTCATGCTCAGTACAAATATAGAGGTTTCCTTTTGCTCTAGTAGTCAGGGAGTATTTAAAGTACTTGGAATGAAATATATGGGTGTGAATTATATACATATGTAGGAATTAGCTGTATGTGTAATGTGTACTTAATTGAGCATAAAGTTGCTGAAAACTTAAAGTAACTGTCTTTAGGAATTTTCCTGGTTGTTAGTTCTTAGGTTTTATATTTATTGGTTGAGCTTGTCAAGTTGAAGCCAGAAGTTCAATTTGTAACCTTGTAGCATCCCTTCCATGTTTTTCAAATGTGAAATGGTGCAGCTTTTCCCCAAAATGTTTTGTAATCTCAGTAAATTAAAGAGATCACTTGATGGAGGTCTTGCTCACTTTTGCTTAGAGCCATTCCATAGAAGTAGTTATGACTACATAAGAAAATAGTTTTAGCTGCTCTTTACAGCAGTTGCTTATCACTTTATATGTCTGGACAGATAAAAGAGGCAGAAGCCAAAGCTGCTATTGAAGAAGAGAAGCGAAGACAACAGGTATCAACCTTTCCTCTTCCTCACCCGCTTTCCCCACGCCTTGTTCTTGTTAGTAAATTATTTCATTTACATGCAACTAAAGATGTATAGTTCGTAATGTGATATGCAGTCATTCCTGTCAGCTGTTATGTATGCTATGAATGATTTACAATGGTTAAGAGCCCACATGTTTTCCCAAACAATTTTCATGATTTAATGCAAAATGTTAATTTATCAGTTTAATCTTGTGTTGCTATAACTGTATATAGTATAGTTTATTTTTAAAATACTCTAGTTTTTAATCAAACACTTTACAATGCATAAACCCCACAGAATTGCTGAATAGCCTTCATAGAGATTAAAATACTGGGTGAAGCTTCCCTCCTCCCTCCCATCATGAAAGAATGAGGCCTAAATGAGTCTTTGTCCTTCAGGTCTCTGAGGGCGTGGGGGTAAACATGTATTTACAGTAATTGCTGTTGTTGGTGAGCCTGTGTTATCAGCATTGTAATCCAAGAAGCTTCTGTGCCAGCTGCCTGGAGGCACTAATGCTAATAGTGTTTCAGGCAATAACGGCAAGCTTGGTAGGTGGTGATGAGGAGGTCACATCTGTCATCTGGAGGCTCCAGCTCTAACGCACTCCTTCCAGCCAGTTCATGCACCCATGCCTGTGCCTCAAGCATTTGACATCAAATCATTTTCTAAGTCCAATGTGTGCTTTCTGACTTTCCTTCTACTCCATTATCACAACAGTTATGTATTAGGGTATACTTGTGTTTTCACATGAGGCTCACACACTGCTTTTATTGCAGAACACTGTCTCACTGCTTGAAAGGAGGTGCAGAAGGCATACTTACAGACCCAATCCTCTTGTACCATTCTCCCGATATCATTAGAATAGTTATGCGTCACAACTTCTGTTATGCCTACTTTGATTAATTGGCTAGGGACTTTATTTATTAAAGCATCATGTCTACCAACCAATGCTTTAGCAAGGTCTTTCAACGAGGGGCGTGTTTACTCATCGTACAGGAAAAACGTGGTTACGTACTTGTCCAGGGCACCAAGCACTGTTTTGTGATCATCTTGTAATGTTCGTTGTTATATTCATACCTTAACTGTCTACAGAATTATTGGTCGCATGTTCCCTCAAACAACTCATAGACAGCTCATCTGATTCTTCTTATTCTCCAAGCTGGCCTTAGAAATGTTAGTTCTGTGACTTAGGTCAAGAAGTGTAGCGTGCATACAGGTGTCTGAAATGTTTTATTAGGCAGAGGTAATCTGTGACTGATGCTTCTGCAACCTAAGTACTGAAGCGTCCTAATGGACAAAGAACAGGTTTACAGTTCTAAAGCTGGAACTTCTAAGTTGTTAGAGTTTGTATTGCACTGATTGTGTTTTCATGTGTTCCAGAAAGCATCCCCATTACTGATAATTGCTGCCTCAAAATCACTTAACTTGTAGCCCCTCTGGTAAAATCTCAGTAGCGAGGCGCCTCTGAAACTACCAGAGTCACCTCACCAGCACAGTATGCAATATCATTGTTGTCTTGATTCTTCAGCAGTGATTGTTTCTCTCTGCAGTACATGTTCTACATCTACATTCACTGAAGTCTCCCAGTTACAGCCCATCAATACGCTTGTGCGATATGGCAGCCTCTTCTGCGTATGTGTTTTGTGATGGATGCAGCTTCAGGCATAAAAGGCTTCCCTTATACATAATCAAGCCTATTAAAAGGTTAATTAAGAGTGGCCAGTTATGTATAGCACAATAGCAAACAGTAGAACAACAGTAAGAGAAATTGGACAACAGTAACAAACAGGCTGTATAGAATTGTACACAAGTCTGCTGCAGCCTTTTATCTAAAATTGATTCTTTTCCAATTTGATCTCGTAATCTGCTATCCAGTGATGGAAATTGGAGAACATCACTATCATAGGGTGTTGTGTCATATTAAGAGTATATATTTATTGAGTATATTCCCTTCTGACAAAAGTTTACATCTTGTCCTGCCTTCCTGATTTAATTAGCACATTTTTATATAGACAGTTCATCTGTTAGTCACAGCTTCTTGAGACCTGTTTTGATTAATACTTCATTAAAATCCCTTATATACAAACTAGTTAGTGCTCTGGTAAGTCTTCACATTTGTGTTGTGTTATTTGCTTTATTTGGTAGCAGCTTCTGTTAATATCATTTACAGATGGAATCACTTGTTTCTTAGTGGAAGGGAGACAGCTTGGTAAGGCTTCTTGTCATGGCCCTAGCAGCCAAACCTTCCCTTTGCTTCACTGTATGAGGCCACGGTTTTCACGATTGTTAGAGGTGGAAAAAACATCAGTGCTTTGATTATTTAACAGTTCAGACCAAGCTCTCTGTCCTACTCTAGTGTAAAAGATTTGAGCTAGGTCTGAAACCCAAATTCTAATTTAATGAGTTGTTTGAAATATTCTGTTTCCTTTTTCTTAGAAAGAAAAGAGCTTCTTAGAAGTTACAAAAGTCAAGTTTCCTCACCACCTGTAAAATACAAGACCTGCAATTTCAGAATACCTGCTTTGTGTCTGTACAGTCTCCGTTACTTGCATTCGTTTAGCTACATTTTCCCATACGGCTGTTACTCCTTTCAGTGCAGGAAGGGTATAGAAATAACATATGAAGGAGCAAAATCCAACACCTGAGAAGCACTAAATTAGACATGCAAGTTGTTTTGAGTATACAGTTTGAATGCATTTCATTTTACTTTTAATATGTCTGTACACAAAGAAGTTAGATTCTTAATCTAAATAAAAAACTTGACCTTGCTTAGTTTGAAAAATTAAGGTAGTCTGCAGACCGGACACAACTATTACTTTATCGTTCAAAGATCATTGAAGTGACGCTTTGGGAATGATGACAGTTATATAAAACCCGTAGGTAGCTTTTCAAGGGTAGTGATGGCTTCTTTCTTGTATTCTGTGCCCACGAACCTTTTCTCATTCTATGTTTTGTTTTTTATAATGTATCTATTTTTAGCTAGGGTTTTATAAAGATCACTAGGAAGGCAATTCAGTACTTGTTATATAATTTTTCGAGCCCTCAGATTACTGAGATTTGTGAAGCACCCTGCTTTTGAAACTTACGGATCACAAGTATATAATAACCACAGAAGCCCCACATTTTATTTAATGTCTATGTAAAATTAAATATTGCCATATTATCTGTAAAACCTAAGAACTCGGCACTTGCCTTCAGATTTTGGATTTTTAAAAACTTTCATTAAAATACTTTGCTTTTCTAAAGGAGGATTAGCTAGTTGAATGTAATCTTTTTTTCAAATAGCAGACTGTGGAACTTTGAACTTTTCTCCCCTATCACCAGAGAAGTGCCAACAGTTTCTGCTTTTATTAAGTACAAAGTAATAGACATCAAAATAGGTCCCTTTCTCCTGCTAGCAGGGATATCTGGCACAAGAAGAGATGTAAGATCCACTTTGTGAAGCTGACAAATATTTGCTGTCAGTAGAGGAAGACCAGACATCGGGCAAACTTAAGTCCCAAAAGAAAATGATATTTACTGAACTGCTTCTCTGCTCATTTCCTAAAACAGTCTTACTGCTTCTTTAATGCCTCTACCTTATTGCCTTAGTCCTTTTCTTCTTGGCAGCCCTGCAGTAAGTGGTGATGCAGAATTATTTTCTCTTGTGGCCAGGCTTTGTCTCCGTTCACTGTCCGTGTTTCCTCTGCTTCCGCTCTGCCTTGCGCCTTTTGCCCGGCCAGTCCCAGCTTGCCGTGCTCTGCTGCTCCCTTCTCTCTTCTGCAGTTCATCCAGCCCCTCTGCTCTCTTGTCCCATGGTTTCTCTAGTATGGCAACTCTAACCCAAAATTCAGATACTTGTTGGACCTTTTCTGGTTTTAGTCTGTCTCAACTCTCCTTAAGAGCATCTTCTCACATTTTCCTAGCAGCTAGATGGCTCATCAGAGTCTCGTCCTGGTCTTATGCACTTTGTTCCAGACTGCCTAATTCCAGTTTTATTTCAGCCTCGTACCTTAAAATGAGTTCTTCCTGTATTCTCTTGATACTCTTTGAGAAGGTTGTGGAGGAATGTGAGGAACAGGAATCGGAGGATCTTCCTGTTCGTTCCAGGCATCACCCTGAAATTTCTGTTCTGTGTAGAAGCTTGGCATTCTTCTTATTTTTCTTCATTTTTTGGGTCTAAGGGTGTGTGTGGGTTTTTTTTAAAAAGATACTCTTTACCTACTACAGTCATATAGGAGTGACTAAATGTTAAGTTATACCACTTAACAAATGGAACCTTTTTGTGCATATCTAAGATTTTAGCTATTAATCTAAAATGTAGCTGAGTGTGCATAATATAAAGAATTGGGGAAAAGATTATAGAATTTTTTTTAATTTATATTTTTATTGGTCTATTTTAGAAGAAAGTGCATCCTTATTACAGGGGGGAGGTCTTTGAAAATTTCAGCCTATACTCTTATATACATTATTGTAATAAAATACTTATAGGTGCTTTAATAGGAAAAAATACTGCATTTTTAACACATATCTTGGAAATAACATCATTTTGGTTTAACATATTCAACCGGAGTTAAAAATCCAATGGAAAACTACAGCTGGTTGTATTTTTGGCGTTATTTTGTACAGGAAACTAAACAATGATTTAATACTTGGAAGTAAAGTGCTTTGTTACCATGGGCTCCAGTGCTACCATCTCATCTGTAAGAGATGTATGACTTCCGTTGTCTGCTAGTTATTTTTATAAAATTTTTTTTTTTTTATTTTATTTGAAATCTGCACATCTCTTTGTTTTTCATTCTGACACAAATGTCAACTACTTCTGGTTTTCTTCATCTAGGCTGAACTGGAAGCTTTTGAAAACAGATTAAGAGGGCGAAGAAAGAATAAGAGAAGAAAGGATGAAGTAGAAGTTGAACAATCATCATGGCAAAAATACAAGAACCTCATCATGCTGCCGATGTTTGGAGTTGCTGTTGTGATGGTTGCGTGGCTCATGGTCTATAACGACTGAAACAACTCAATATTTAATATACCTCAGTCGGGCTTTAGGTAGCTGTTATTCTTAGAATGTTAGTCTGCCTGTCTGTAACAGAACTTAATGTGCATAGATTATATACGTATGCTGTTGGCCAAGAAAAGCGCGGAGGAGGGAAGAAGTGTCACCCTTTGTGTTACTGCATTCACAGCACAAAACTGAATTCAGACACTGAAAGTAACAGTATATTTTTAGTCTACACGGAAATGCTGATGTAGTTTGTCTGACTGAGATCCGTTATCATCTGTTCTATTAATATATTGTGTTACTTTTGTCTCCATTTCATAATATTAAAAAATAGCTAGGTATAAAATTCTTTATTGAATATTTGGTTTTTGAAAAATCGATTTAGTGACTTATTGAAGATTAGTATTCTTATGCTAGTCTTTATGTTGTATCACAAAGTAATTTCTGTGCTTCATGTCAGTTTTAATTATAACAACCAACGGGGATCTTTGGATCACTAAGGCTTGAATATTCTGGGGCCTCATGTCAGAACTTTGTTCAGAGAAGGGAAATAGTTGTCTTTCAAGTCAACTGTATCACAAACAATAAAATGGGCCCCCTTACAGACTGCGGAGTTTGGTTTTTGGTTGTTCCTCCCCTCCCTGTTTCCTCAAAATCAAACCAGTTCAAAACTTCATTTAGTGGACAGCTGCTTGGGCTCAACATGGATGTGAAGTTGTTTCAGGGCACAAGGATGTGTCCTCATCACTGCCACCATTGCCAACGGGAGAAAATTTAAAATTGAATGTAGAGCATCACTCGATTGTTTAATGTCACATTTGGATATTTGCATAGGTGTGAGAAAGTACAATTGGGGAGTGTAACAGGCGAATTATTTGTCGTTCTGAAGCTATCTGGATGGTGTTTGCTAATAATGTATAAACTATGTAGCTATTCTTTGGAGTGTGTAAATATTTTCTTAATGACAGTGTAGAACTTACTTTTGGGATATCAGTGTTGGTTGGCAGAACTGAAAGGTTACACAGCTTCAAGGTTTTTAGAGAAGCTACATTGTCTTGGCTGAGGGATTGCAAGTTAAATTTGCGAGTGGGAAAAATTGGAAAACAGGTTTGAGACCTGTTCTGGAAAATTTATGCTGAAGCTTGAGCATTGTGAGTAACTGGAAAGCGCTTACAAGATCCTGTGAAAGATGAAGCACAAAGCTAACGGGCATTAGGTTGCCCTTGTAATTCAGGCATATGATAATTTCAGCACAAATCCTGAAAAAGCAATGGGACCATTTGTGTGAATTCCTAGGGAATATTGCAGATTGTTTGAAACCTTTTTCAGTTGATTTTGGCCCACTTATAAAGAGTCCCAGTGTTAATTTGAGCTGATATCCAATTGTTATTATGGTTCAGC